TACCCCACCTTCCCATTTTCTTAAATTATGTATTCTAAAGCATCCCTTTTTTCCTATTTAGAGAGAAAATTTGTGCTTTCTGTCATTAACTATGGAAAAATCCTCTATTCTTTCAGAAAAATAAACAGAATACTTAATTATTTTGGAATCCAATTATTAATGGATTTTATATTTTTCAAACAGAAAAACTGGCCTCATAAAGGAGGATATTATACTGGTAGTGCTGTCAGGTAACCCTAAAGTCAGTTGTTGATGTCCACTAGCCTCTCCTTTTGCTCCCCTGAAGATCTACAGCCTCAAAAATCCTATATAAGGTCATTATGATGGCGTCGGTCACCTGGGTGGTATAGTGGTTACGAATTGGGCTGAGATCCATATGGTTGGCAGTTTGAGACCCAGAAGCTCCAAGGGAGAAAGACTGGGCTTTCTACTCCCATCAACAGTTACAGTCCCAGACACTCACAGGGAGGTCACTATGAGTCAACGCTGACTCGATGGCAGTGAGAGACAGATGAATCAGAATGGCAGCGAGTTTAATATGGGGGAGGACTAAGAAGTTCTCAACTCTCACTCATGTTTCTAAAAATAGTTATCAAGAAGGGAATTCTGAAGACAAAAATGCTAAGGAAATCCCAATCTTTGCATTTAACACTAGGAATATGGCAGAATCATCACAAGTGAAGCATTCAAAAGAGCTTTTGACCTTAAAAGTATGTCCAAATCTCACCAAAATTAAGCTCTGTTTTGATTATCACTATGTTCCTAAGTAGGAGATTAACATTTCAGTTCTCTTTTAGAGAACAGGGGGGGAAATTCTGCCAGGAGTCTCAATCTTACCTCTAGATCAGTTTCCATAAAATCAAACACAAGGCTAATATTAGATTTATGTCCAAAAGCATCAAGGAGCTGCAGAGCAAAAAAATTTAAGATATTAAAATATGCTTGTTACATAATTGCCAATATTATAGTGTAACATGAGAAAACTTTGAAAACTGAAAATGTACATTTGGAATGCCAACAATTCAATTTATACCATACCAAAATGACACTTAGCATCCTTGCAGAACACACATTGTATTCCTTTTAACATTTTAAAACTTTTGGGATGAAAAAGAAGCCAATGAAATTCTTGTTGGATAGCCTGTGCTATCCTCGAAGAATGGGCAAGTACACTGTTGTGATGGGGGGAAAATTTCTTGTGGTAAAATTCCTGGCCTTTTCCTTACCAATGCAGTTTTCAATTTTAATAAAAACTTCTTCCTAATAAGCCCACTGTAATCACTCTGTGTCCTTCGATAATACAGAAATTTCCTCTTTCAAATTCTAAAATCAGTTGCTTTAACCTTCTGAATTGAACTCTCTTGTCTTTTCTGATTGGACCTTTTTTATAAAAGCATCCTAACATGACTGAAACAAGTGTATTACTGAAAGAACTTGTCGGCAGACATGCACTGATCTCAGACACATGTTTAAACATATTTTATTGCAGTATCTTGTGTACAGATAAACTCGAATCCTAGGTGTACTGTTTCCTACTTGTCTTATACATTTTCAGGCTGATTCACTTCTGAACTTCTTCTGTAAGGCTACCTAGAATCTTTCCTGAGACTTCAGTCAATATCACCACACTTAATTTGACATAAAAGAATGCTGTGCATACTCACACCAATTATATTTTGATGACTAAGCTCCTGTAGTAACTTAATTTCTCGTAAAGCTGTTCTATTTATACCTACATAAAGACAAAGCAAGGAAAAGGTTAGTCATCTAATAAATAGCAATGAAATAAGGGTTATTTTGAAGTTTGGGGATTTTTTTTTTTTTACAAAAAGGTCTTTGTTTTTCTGATACTGCTTGATTTTTAAAACAGCTTAACACAAAGACTATAATAAATGGTGATTTTTTTAATTGAAAATTGTTTCACTGTATCTACAGCAAATCAGATGTGACAACTGTTGGAATAAGAACGTGAATAAACGAGTAACATAATTGATGACTCGAGACCTTCCTGGCTCGTGCCCTACCATTATTAAGGGCAGATTCTTCTATTTTGGTGCATATGAATTTATTATGCATCAACACTTCTTTCCATTGTCACCACATGAGAAACTTTTCAAAGGCAGTTGTCTGATCTACTCAATTGCTCCGAACAGCAGTTACTCAATATCAAATATAATTCATTATTCCCAAGATGATGACAGCATTGCACTCAGATCATACTATTAAGTGTATTGCAATCAGAAAAAGACATGAATTAGAGAATTTTAGTCTGCAAATCTGGGTGTCTCAGGGAAGAAAACCCCACATATATTTGGGGTCTGCATGGGTCAAATCTGTGTTATCCAAAAATACACTGTAAATCACATGCAGATTTAACCACAGAGGAGATCAACATCCTGACTATTATATGTAGCACTGAATTTTGCTTGTTGTTTCCATACAATGGTTTATAATGCCTTAAACAATCATGAAAAGAGCAAGACAAGTCTAAGAAACTTGCTGCCTTCCTTTCATTTAGTTAATCTGAATGCTTCTCTTAACATCTAAATGGTAGAAAGCACCAAACCTCCTTTCTCTATCTTAGTCTATCCTTGCTCTTCTGAGGCCCTATAGTAACTTTACCCAGAACCCTTGCTAATTCTAATTAATACTTTGTTTTCTCAGCGAATGGAAATGTTTTCTGTTCTGTCAGATTACATGAAATACGTACCATCTTTGGCTTCTGATCTATGTCCAAGTTTGATCTGGTAAGGTGGGAGGATAAAGCAAATACATTAAAAATATATTAAATTATTTAAACTAATTACATGATATGCAAATACTTCAAAAACTTAGCCACAACAAAAACATGTAGTATTAATAAGCAAAAAGGAAGTGAAAATTCCAGGTGAGAAAGGGAAAAATAATAGAGAATCAAGTTAGCCATCATTCCTTGCTGCTTATGTTTTTGAATTATGTATTCCTAAGGAGAAAGATGAGTCTGCCCCTCAAGAGTTACACAAAGACCAAACTCATTGTCACTGAGTCAGCTCAACTCAGCGACCCTCTACTGGGTTTCCAAGGCTGTAAATCTTTGTAGGAGTAGACAGTCCAAACCTTCTCGCATGGAGCAATTGGTGGGTTTGAATCCCTGCCTCTGCGGTTCCTAGTCCAACCTGAAAAATGCACAGCCTTGGAATCCTATGGAGCTGTTCTATTTTGTTCTACAGGGTCACTGTAAGTCAGAATCAATTCAATGGCAGTTGGTTCAAGTTTGGGTTTTTATCTTTGCAAGGCTGACAATGAAGCAAATATCTGAGGGTATACTTGTTAATAGTTATTCTTTTTAATTCAAGTTATTATACTTGGGAAGAAAGATGTGACATATACACAAAAATAAGTTGTACTGTTGATAATAAGTCTAATAATCTCTTAGGGACATTTCCTAAAAGGCAAAATTTTAAATTGCAGAGGATAATAAAAACTGGTTAAACTGCTGCTATAGAGAATAAACATAACAAATCAAACTACCATACATACTCAAGTATAAGCTGAGTTTTCCAGCACATTTTAATGTAGTTTTTGTGGTAGAATTAGGTGCCTCGGCTGATATTTGGGTTGGCTTATACTCAAGTATATACGGTAATAGGTTAAGTCTACACAAAACAGATCACTCAAAAAAACCCCAAAAACAAACAAAACAAAACAGATCACTCTCTTACTTAAACTAAGATTGTCAAGTATCAACAATTTAAAACAAAACTAAAAGTTACATACAGAACAAAACTATTCTATCTTTACACAAAACAAAACAGAACAACCTAATAAACCTCCTCTCTATCCACTACAAATAGTACTTTTTATTAAAAAAGTAGGCCAAAAAAAAAAAAAAAGTAGGCCATTTAGTACAGTATCAAAAAATGTAAGGTGTTTAGAAATAAATCTATCGAGATATATAGAAATTTCAATAATAAAATTATAAAGCCCTATTATAACATGCTTAAAGAGATCAAATTAAACAGAAATAGCCCATTCCTAGATAATAAAATTCATTATCATAAGCATATTAAACATGTTAATAAAACTGAATCTTTAGCTCCACAGCACTTTCCATGGTTGTTGACAAATTCACCCTAAGATATATATGGAAATATAAAAGGCTAAGAGAAAATAAAAGACAAAACAAGGGGATAAGGAAAAATACACAAAAATCGGGCTAAAAAGATACGATTTAAAAAATTACATTCACCCAACATAATAAGAGACATTTTTAACTTGTTTAAGTCTCGTATTTCATTACATAGATTCAACAATTACCGATGTTTGGTAACACTTCAGGAGCCCTGGTAGTGCAGTGGACAACGCGAGGGTGGCTGCAAGGTCTGAAGCCACCAGCAGCTTCTCCCGAGAAAGATGAGGCTTTCTACTTCTGTAAAGAATGACAGTCTCAAACACCCATGGGGGCAGTTCTTCCCGGTCCTGGAGGGTCGCTATGAGTCAGCACTGACTGACAGTCGTGCGTGAGCAGTAATCATTGCTGTGAATCTTTACCTCATCTTTCTCCCATGGAACAATTGGTGAGTTTGAACTGCTGACCCGTGGTTGTAGCCCAATGTGTAACCCACTATGCCACCAGGACTCCTTTCGGAAGGTCACATGAAATTTCCAGAATCCCACTATTCTGGTTTCAATTCCCTATTCCGGTTCAGCACATCCCCACTTTCCATCCCTCTGTTCAGTTCTGATACCAGCCACCAAGGAGCACTTCTTTTTCTGACCCCAGTTGGATCTCACAAGTTAGAAAGATACTACTCTTCAGACAAATCAAATAAGCAGATGCTCTCCAGATGCAAGCTTGGAAGCCACACAACACCCCTAGCCTGACTTGCTGACCAACAAGGGGTATTACCACTTTCTCCTCAGGGAGCCAGCTGCAAGCTCCAGGGATGTTTGCCTTGGGCTACCTCACTTTTACTTGCTCTGGCTCCCACAGTCCCTTTGTGATCCAAATTTCGCTACAATGACTCACAAAATATACTCATGATTACACTGTTATTATTTTAAAAGAATACAAATCAGAGCAACATAAAGAAATGCATAGGGCTGGGGCAGGGTGAGTCTGCATCCAAAACCTTTGGAATGACTTCAGTGCATAGCCATGCGAGGGGCCTCACTGATTATGTTTGATTAAGTCATGCCCTCCTACCCCCTTGAGCTTAGCTGACCAGATAAGCCTTGTGGCCAGGGCAGCATCCCACACATTCATAGGAATTCTCAAGTGTTATCTGGAGGTTTTAGATAATGCAGGCATCTAGATTACTCAAGAAATTCCAAGTATTCTCTTTCAGGAAACAAGGATAAAGGGCAAAAAGAGTTTTTGGTCTCACAGCAGAGAAGGTCCACAAGTACTATATATCCTTCATGTTCACAGTGGGAAGCATAAATAATATCTAAAATTGAAGGGGGTATTCAAAGAATAATAAAATAAGCATATTATTTAAAGAAATGATAGTATATACCAGAGGACAACTAAGTGAGTTCTAAACATTTGCTGTGAGGATTGAAAACTATAGGAGTGAGGCAGGATAAAAGCCAGTTTTATTAACTGATTTAAAATTATGAACATAAAATTGAAAAACTATATGTATGATTTGAAATAAAAGTTACACATAAAAGGCCGCACTATGCAACATCTTCAAGGAGGAATAGTTAATACAGAAAAACAAACCAAACTCGATTCTAACAGATTCTAAATCCTAATTTGTTAAAAGCAAGCAGCAACAAAATACACACCACAAACTACTAGAACTTTCAGCTATAGAACTCAATTGTAGAGAGGTTATACTAGTCAGTCAGCTCAGAACATTTGTGTAAGTAGAAGGAATCTGACAATACACGTAGAGCAAAGATGATCTCAGATTTGTTGAGTAGCATAGAGATGACACAGGAAAATACAGCAAAGGACTGGGTGCCGGTGGGGGGTGGTAGTAGTGCTGTTAGCCAGAGTGGACAGGGAAGGCATCTATGGGAAGAGACATCTGAGGGAGATGTGAGATATGAGGAATCGGCTATACAAAGTCATAAAGGAAGAATTATCTCAACCAGAAGGCAGAAAAAGGGCAATGCATCTGTAACAGGAATGAATTTAATGTGTTACAGGGGCAAAAAGGTCAGTATGGCTAGTGGCTGGGTGGAGGTGGGAATGTTAGTGTCAAAAAGATGAAGTTAGAAAAAAATCAGGAGAGTTAAGATGGTTGGCAAAAGTGTGTCTATGGTGCTGATCACAGACATAAGCTGATGATTATATTCATTCTTGAATGAATGTAAGTAAAAAAAAGCTTTTAAAGCCTGCATAAAAATTTAAATATAGTGTATCGCGCATTATTGTGAATGCTGGCGAAACCCTTTGCCAATTAATTTGTGTGCTGAAAACACAGAGGCTGTACTTGTCCCGTGGGGAGCCCTGATGGCATGGTGGTTGGGCTGCAATATGTAAGGCCCCACCGTTTGAAACAACCAGCCGCTTCGCAGCAGAAAGACTCCTGTAAAGAGTTACAGCCTCGGAAACCCACGACAGTTCAACCCTGAGTCGGAATTGACTGGATGGCAGCGAGTTTGGTTTGGGTTTGGTACTTGTTCTTTAGCCAACACTCAGTTGTTTGCAGCAAAGACGTCATTTCAATTTCATTTAACGGAACAACAAATTGGTTGACTCCAGAGTTCCAACTCGGAAAACGACGCGTATTCTACCGTCTTTGAAAACGACACAAATGACTTAATGAGCGAAGGCCACGCGTGCGGAGAACGTCCGCCATCAGCTCCTTAGAGACATTTTCAGAGAGAATGGAAGGAAAGGGACGCTTCTGTGCAACTCACTTTTTTGATGGCGACGATCTGATTGGTGTTTTTGTCTCTGGCCTTGTAAACAGTGGCAAACTAGAGAGAAACAGAAATAACACGAGTCTGGGAGGATGGCAGTGCTGGCCACTTTACTTGTTCATACTTTGGGAAGTCAAGCGAGAGATGTGGGGGACACTCCATGCCCGCTCCTTCAGAAAGAAGGGGGTGCTCGGGGTGGGAAGAGGAGTGGCAGGTGCGTGTGGGGAGAGCCAGGAGCCAGGCCCGGCCACTGGCCTCCCCGGGAAAACCTGCATGGCTGTGAGGTGGCAGGGTGCTCTCCGCCCCGGGCCCCAATTCCAGCACGAGGGCCTCACCTGTCCCTCTCCGAGGAAGTCCAGTTTTTCATAACGCTTTGCTCGCGACCTCACGTCCAAAGCCATCTGGGTCGCGAAACCTAACTCCAGTCAAAACGGAGAAGCTCCAAGGGCCAGGGGTGGATTTAAAGAGTCGCCAACAGCCTCTTCCGTTCACTTGGCTCCGACGCCTTCGGAGCTCCGCCCCACTTCCGGGATGGGCGGGGTTCGCCATCCGGAAGCTGCACCAGACCCAGCTGATTGGTTTGTCTGCGCCGCACCGCCTTGTCACGTGGTCTACGCCCAGTTCCGCAGAATCAGTGTTCCTGGGTTTAGTTGTCATCGGTCCCCTTTTACTTTCTCAATTTGGTGCTTTCTTGACGACTGCACACGAGCTTGGCACTCAGCGTACGGGATTTGATAGGTGTATGTATAGAAAGTTTATTCTTGTCCTTTCTCTTGGCCGAGCGCGTCAACGCCACTGTTGCTATGGACGCCAAGCCATGGATATCCGGTTACGTAGCCAAGTCTCAAATTTTATAAAAAAATCATTTTATTGGGGGCTTATACAACTCATCATAATCCGTCCATCCATCCATTGTGTCAAGCACATTTGTACATTGTTGCCAGCATTTTCTTTTGTTGTTGTTGCTATTCATTATTTTTTAAATCATTTTATTGGGGGCTCATACAACTCATCACAATCCATACGTACATCAACTGTATAAAACACATTTGTACATTCGTTACCCTAATCACTCTCAAAACATTTGCTCTCCATGTAAGCTCCTGGCATCAGCTCATTTTTTCCAAGTCTCAAATTCTTAAGGGCTGGTCAAGAGGAATTCTTTAGTTCGTTTATAAAGCACACCTATAATTGAACTTCGTTGGAACATATGCTGTGGTCCTCAGTTCTCTGCCCTGCGAAATAGTAATCATAATAGAGTACATCATACTGCCCTGCAAAATAGGAATCATAATAGACTACATCATAGGATGGTGAGAGTCAAACCTCACCATCAAACGCACAGAAAGTCCAGACATAGCAAGTGCCTATTATTAGCTGTGATCATACCCAATTTTTAGATTCTCATCGATTTTCATAAAAACCATCAAGGTCAAATTGACATTAATTCATTCAAATAATTTATTGAGTGCTCACTACATGCCAGGGCAAGCTCTGGTGTAGATTATGAGAGAAATCAGCAAGGAAGAAAATAAAACATGCCTGCATTCCAGTAGGAGCAGCAGATACCAAGAAAAGTATACAATACATAGTGATGGTGCTATGGAGATAATAAACGGAGTGCTGTTTTAATTGAGGTAGTTTGGGAAAAATATCACTGAAAAACCATTGTATGGTCTCAAATAGATGAGTGATGCCTCATGTTTTTAAGTTTGTTCTTCTTGTGAAAGATTAGAGGGGCAAGGAGAGAACTTCATCTGCTACAGAATTTCAAACTTTCATGGAATTCAGACTAAATGGAGCCAGTGAAGTTGGATGAACCCTTGAGGCTATTATCCTGAGATAATCTCTAAACTCTCTACCAAAAACAGTCCCTAAAGTATTTTCCTATCCAAATAACAGGTTCAGTTACTTAGTAATGAATGTATGCCTTCAGCATTGTGCTCTTAAAGAAAAAAAAATTGTATAGATTTGAACTGACAAAAGTACTCAAAGGTTAGAAAGGATTCCTAGGGGGGAAATGAGTTTGTTAGTAGGGGAGGAACAAGTCAGAAAAAGGTTATGAGTGATTACACATCTTAAGAATGTAATCATTGCCACTGAACTGTATATGTAGAAACAGTTGACTTGATGTTTTTCTGTGTATACTTTCAAGTTTTTTCTTTTTAAAGGACTTGTTAGATCATAGTCTTGGGGGTACCAAGATCAATTGGCATTACACAGCTCACAAAGACTTTGTTATATCCTACTTCGGTAAGTATCAATTGGGGCCTTACAAGCTCATGAGTAGTCATCTAAAGTGCAATGCAACTATTGGTCTAGCCTTATACTTTGGACAAAAGAATTATGAATATTGAAAGACATGCAAACAGTCTAATGAATGATGCAAACATCAGTCTTTTTTTTCATATTTAAAATTTGTGTTTATTTAACATTTGCTTCTGTAATGCACTCTCAGGTACATTGTAAGCTTTGTTGTTGAACAGGAATAGTGTCTGCTATGTAGTGTTTATCATTGTGTTTTAATCTT